GCAGGAACAGCAACTCATATTCCGCTTGGGAACCCTGCAGCCCAATGGTATCAATGTGGATTTCACAAGCTTCAAAATCTCCCCTCCCCCTACCGCATCCCAAAACCAGTCCAGCTTGTCCCCGCCTCCTTAACCTGTTCTTCCTCCCACCTATCCCCTCCTCCCATCTCAAGCCGCACCCCCATCTCCTACCTACTAACCTCATCCCACCCTCTTGACCTGTCCATCCTCCCTGGACTGACCGATCTCCTCCCTAACTCCCCACCTACACTCACCTTTACTGGCTCTATCCCCGCCTCTTCGACCTGTTTGTTTCCTCTCCACCTATCCTCTCCTCTATCCATCTTCTATCCGCCTCCCACTCTCTCCCTATTTATTTCAGAACCCCCTTCCCCTCCCCCTTTTCTGATGAAGGGTCTAGGCCTGAAACGTCAGCCTTTCTGCTCCTATGATGCTGCTTGGCCTGCTGTGTTCATCCAGCCCTGCACCTTGTTGTCACAGTACTCCAGAGGTGGCCTCACCATCACCTTATACAGCTGCAATAAGAAATTCTCTATTTGCATCATTCTCGTGTGGTCTCGGGTTATAAGAAAATCACACAATAGCCATGCCATTTAAACTAATGGGGCCAGAATCGTGTTATAGCCAATACAGGTAAGGAAAGTTCACGTTCTACAAATTCTTCAATCGCATTAAAGCCAATTTGTGTTGAAGAAACATGCGTTATAGCATAACTGATTGTACAATTGTTGATATAGCTCCCTGTGTACATTCTCAAGTGTTAGTTAATATTAACTGTTTGCTGTCCATCTCAATCCAAGTCTGTGTGTTTAGGGACAAAACAGACACATCTTCCTACACCTCCCCAGGTCCAATCAAGAGATTGGGAACAGCAACAAGATCAGGAAAGAGGTAGCCTTGATTGGCGGAGCTCAAGCTGGCCTGCATGTGAGAGACAGAATCTGACTGACATTGGGGGAACACAACCTTTCTCCCATTTGTCACCTCCTGATTGAATTTTCTCAACTGTTTGGGGTCATTCACAGAGTCAACATGATGCTAACCCTGGATACTTCCAGTGCTGCCGCAGTCATGCTCAACAATTCAAGTTAATATTCACCTTACCCCATGATCATTATCTTCATCTGTGACTAATTTTGTGTGAAATTGTGACATTTGTTTCTTTGCAACAACCACTGAGGAATGTAAAAACAAAAACTATAATCTCTTCAAACATATAACTATGCTTTTGCATACAGAAGGCTTAGCACTCGGTTATTTAGACTTATACTCCATAGTTAACACACACATGTTCACATCCAAATCAAAGATAACTTCGAGAAAACTCCAGAAAGCTGTTAAGGTGATTGTGACATTGGTGTGCTCCAGTTTTCAGTCAGACCGGTGCTCTGTTTCCAGTTTCAGCCCTGTTCCAGTCGATTCTGTCATTATGTTGATTGAACATCTGGTTCAATGTCCTCCACTTGCCCTTCTTCAACCTGTGGGCAAACAGAAATACAGATCATCCATGATGTAGTGCAGTGCTGTAACAGGCTCAAAGTGCTGAACAGCCCACTGAGGGGAAGGGGAAGGAGGTGGGGAGGGAGAGGGAGGGGGTGGGGGAGGAGGGCAGTGGAGGGGGAAAGTGAGGCATGAGCGAGGGCAGTGAAGGGGGATAAGTGGGAAGAGGGGTGGGTGAGGTGCGGTGTAGACGAGAACCCGAGAAAATGGTGACAAGGCATTCTCACTCCCACCCATCCTCAGTCCTACCATGTCCTTAACTTCCCCCCGCCACCTCCTCACTTGCCCCCATCTCCTCACTCCTCTCCCACTGATACCAGTTTTAAAACCACATGTGTTTTTTCTCTGCATGGGCAGTGTGGACTTCGTTATGATGTCACACATAAATTGTACATGATGATGTGTTAGTCTGGAACCATGCACGTGCGCAGTTGCCCACGGCCTTTTGTTTACTAACTCCTAGAATAGGAACTTATCAAAAGTCTTTGAAACTCCAAATAAAGAATCACAGATATATAGCATAAAACAGACCCTTCAGTCCAACTCGTCAACACTGACAAGATATCCTAAATTAATCTAGTCCTATTTGCCAGCATTTGACCCATATCCCTCTCAACCCTTTCTATTCATATGCCTATCCAGATGCCTTTAAATGTTGTAATTGTACCAGGCTCCAGCACTTCCTCTGGCAATTCATTCCGTACACACACCATCCTCTGCATGAAAATGTTGCATTTTAGGTCCCTTTTAAATATTTGCCCTCTCACCTTAAACCTATGCCCTCTCGTTTTGGACTCCCCTGCCCTCAGGAAAAGACCTTGTCTATTTACTCCATCCATGCCTCTCATGATTTTATAAACTTCTAGAAGATCACTCCTCAGCCTCCAATGCTTCAGGGAAAATAACCCCAGCCTATTCAGCCTCTCCCTGTAGCCCAAATCCTCCAACCCTGGCAACATCCTCGTAAATCTTTTCTGAACCCTTTCAAGTTTCACATCATCTTTCCTACAGCAGTGAGACCAGAATTGAACACAGTATTCCAAAAGTGGCCTAACCAATGTCCTGTACAGCCAAACATGATCTCCCAACTCCTATACTCAATGCACTGACCAGTAAAGGCAAGCGTACCAAACGCCTTCTTCACTACCCTGTCTACCTGCGACCCCACTTTCAAGGAACTATGAACCTGCACTCCAAGGTCTGTTTGTTTGGCAATACTCCCCAGGACTTTACCATTAAATGTATAAGGCCTGCCCTAACTTGCCTTTTCAAAATGCAGCACCTCACATTTATCTACATTAAACTCCATCTGCCGCTCCTTGGCCCATCGGCCCATCTGATCAAGGTCCCGTTGTACTCCAAGGTAACCTTTGCTGTCCATTACACCTCAAATTATGGCGTCATTTGCAAACTTAGTAACCATAATTCTTATATTCACATCCGAATCATTTACATAAATGACAAAAAGCAGTGGACCCAGCACCTGTGGCACACCACTGGTCACAGGCCTCCAGTCCAAAAAGCAACCCTCCACTATCACCCTCTGTCTACTACCATCGAGCCAGTTCTGTATCTAAATGGCTGGTTCTCCCTGTATTCCATGTGATCTAACCTTGTTAACAGTCTGCCCTGAGGAACCTCGTCGAGCGCCTTACTGAATTCCATACAGACAATGTCCACTGCTCTGCCTTCATCAATCCTCTTCTTCACTTCTTCAAAAAACTCAATCAAGTTCATGACACATGATTTCCCACACACAAAGCCATGACAACCAACCGTAATCAGCCCTTGCCTTTCCAAATACATGTAAATCATGTCCCTCAGAATCCCCTCCAACAACTTGCCCATGACTGATGTCAGGCTCATCGGTCTATAGTTCCCTGACTTTTCCTTAACATCTTCCTTAAAAAATGGCATCACATTAGCCAACCTCCAGTTTTCCGGCACCTTACCCATGGCTATTGATGATATAAATACCACAGCAGGGGCCCAGCAATCACTTCCCTATCTGCCCAGAAAGTTCTAGGGTACACCTGTTCAGGTCCCAGGGATTTATCCACCTTTATGCACTTTAAGACATCCAGCACCTCCTCCTCTGTAATATGGACACTTTTCAAGCTATCACTATTTATTGCCCCAAGCTCTCTAGCTTTCATATCCTTCGCCACAGTGGACACAGATGCAAAACACTCGCTTAGTATCTCACCCATATACTGTGGTTCCTCACATAGGTGGCCTTGCTGATCTTTAAGCGGCCCCCTTTTCTTTCTAGTTACTCCATCGTCCCCAACATATTTATAGAATCCCTGTAGAGTCTCCTTAGACCGTTTTACCAAAGCTATCTTATGTCCCCTTTTTGCCCTTTTCATTTCCTCTTAAGTATACTTCTACTGTCCTTATACTCTTCTAGGAATGCACTCAATCCTTGCCGTCTATACCTGATGTATGCTTCCTTCTTTCTCTTGACCAAAACCTCAATTTCTCTAGTCATCCAGCATTCCCTACACCAACCAACCTTGCCCTTCAACCTAACAGTAACATTCCGTCTCTGCACTCATGTTATCTCATTTTGAAGGCTCCATACTTTACGTGCAAATATCCGCTCTCAATCAACTTTTGAAAGTTCTTGCCTAATACTGTTGAAATTGGCCTTCCTCCAGTTTGGAACTTCAACTTTTAGATCAGATGTATCCTTTTCCATAATTATTTTAAAACTAATAGCATTATAATCACTGGCCCCAAAGTACTCCCCCACTGACCTCAGTAACTTGCCCTGCCTTATTTCCCAAGAGAAAGTCAAGTTTTGCTCCTTCTCTAATAGGCACGTCCATATACTGGATCAGAACATTTTCTCATATACACTTAACAAATTCCTCTCCACCAAGCCCTTCACATGATGGCAGTCCTAATCTATGTTAGGAATGTTAAAATCCCCTACCATTACCACCCTATTATTCTTACAGATAACTGAGATCTCATTACAAATTTGCTTCTGAATTTCCCACTGACTATTGTGGGGTCTATACTTCTCAGTTCCACCCAAATAACTCCCTGGATGTACTCCCCGGAATATCCTCCCTAGGTACAGACATAACGTTATTCCTAATTAAAAATAGCACTCCCCCTTCTCTCTTGCTACCTCCTTTCTATCCTTCCTATAGCATCTGGAACATTAAGCTGTCAGTCCTGTCCATCCCTAAGCCACATCTCCATAACTGCACAGTCCCATGTTCCCAACCATGCCCTGAGTTCATATGCCTTATCTGTCAGGCCTCCTGCATTGAAGTTAATGCAGTCTAATTTATTGGTCCTACCTCATTCTCTGCTTTGCTTCTGCCTGCTTTGACTATTTTACTTGCTCCTTTTCCCAACTGGACCAGCCTCAGTCAGATCGCTTTTCTCACCATCTCCCTGGGTTCACCAGAACCCACTCCCCACTCCCCTACCCCCCACCCCCACCCCACCAACTCCTTACTAGTTTACATCCTCCTGAGCAGCTCTAGCATATCTCCCCACCAATATATTGGTCCCCTTCCAATTCGGCACAACCTGTCCTTCTTATGCAGGTCACTTCTACCCCAGAAGAGATTCCAATGATCCAAATTTGTGAATCCTTCTCCCCTGCACCAGCTCCTCAGCCACACATTCATCTGCTCTATCCTCCTATTCCTACTCTCATGAGCATGTGACACTAGGAGTAATCCAGACATTATTACACGAGGACTTACTTTTTAATCCCCTGCCTAATTTCCTTTATTCTTTCCTCAAAACATTGTCCTTTTCTTTTTCCTACATCATTGATTCCAATATGTACAACAACTTCCTGCTGGTCACTATCCACTTTGAGAATATTCTGCACCCTCTCCAAGGCATCCTTGACCCTGGCACCAGGCAGGCAACACGCCATTCTGATGTCTCATTGTCGGCTACAGAAATGTCTGTCTATGCCTCTGACTAGAGAGCCCCCATCACAGTTGATCACTTGGAACCTGATGTGCCTCTTGTTATGGTAGAGCAGTCTTGGTACCGGAAACCTGGCTGTCATTGCTACATTCCCCTGAGAATCCATCACCCGCTTCATTTTCAAAAACAGCGTAATTGATTGAGATGGGATAGCCACAGGAGATTTCCACACAACCTGCCTACTTCTCCTACCTTACCTCAAGGTAACCCATCTATCCGACTACATCTGCTGTTTTCCTACCTTCCCGAAACTGCCATCCATCGCATCCCCTGGCTCCTGTAGATTCCTCATTGGCTCTAACTGCTGCTCCAGCCTATCCCTGCGACCCGATACGATTTGCAACCAAACATATTTCCTGCAGATGTAATCTTCAATAACATGGAAACTACCCCCATATCTCCCACATCTGACAGGAAAAGAACATCACTCTACTAAAGGCTTTGCACCTTAACAATCTACAGACCCAGAAAATAGCATAGTCTTACTGCTCTAAAAACACCACTCTAGGACAACTTGGTACCCATGTTTTATATTTTAAAATTTAATCAAGAGACAGATCTCAATAAAACATATGAACAAAAAATCGCCCTGCTAACCAAGAAAAAGAGTAAGATTAGACTTAAAAGAACACTGAGCTGTTACCTGCTGTGAGATACTGAGATCTCTCCAAGATCAGCTGTGAATTTCACTGTTCGTTTTTCTTAGACCAAACTCTGATGTTCTGAGATGCTTGTAACTGCATAACACAGGCAGTCAGTTGTGAAGTTTCACTGCTCCATTTTTTGTCACTTCCCACATGATTCTTGCACTCTCTCTTTCCTCCCGTTTTAAAGCACTGCTGTTTTGATCTTTTTTCCGAAGTTCCAAAACAAAGCAACAGCTTATAAATCAGTAATTACTGTTCCAAGAAATCGAGGAAATCAGCTCTAACACCGAAAAAAAACCTCAAAAAAGGAGGAGCTCTTGCAGCCAATATTATCTCCTGTTCTCCATCTTGGATTTTGAGTAATATCTTCATAAAACTCCAAAAGTTTTGTCAAACATAATTTGCCTTTTATGTCAGGTGGTATCACATCCTGTTCAAGAGGTTTGAACATTTTCCCAATTATGTACATCAAACTACAGGTCTGTAGTTTCCCTCTCATCCCCTTCTTAAATGGTAAGGTTATTTTTGCTACTTTCCAGTCTGTAGCTTCTTTTTCAGAAACTGTGGAAGTTTGAAAGATAAATTTGAAAAAAAAAAGAACTTAGAAGGTTGAAATCTCCAGGAAAGTCTGCAAATGGAGTTTGCTTGTCCAAGTCAAGATGACAACTGCTCCCCCACCCAACCATTGGGAGCACACGAAAGGCAAAGGAATCTCCAAGTTTCTGATACACTCAGCAGCATTGTGTTTAAAGGTGAAAATACTGAGCATGTTTCTTAAATATCTTTGAGTATATCTTTGTTTTTACCTGAGAACTTTCACTTTGGCTGCGCTGGGAGGATTGCAGTCTCATTCTATAGGGGAAAAAATGCAAGTATGATTACCAGATTATGTAATAATAACCATGTATTTTGAGTCATAAGGGAGTTAGCTATTATACTGGGTCTGTGGCAAGAGGCAAAAAGCACATTTGACCTCATCCTCACCAATCTGCCTCCCTGTAGAGGCATCTATCCATGACAATATCAATAAGAGTGACCACCACACAGTTTCTGTGGAGACGAAACTTCTATCATGTTGTGATATGCTAAGTGGGATAGACCTCGAACAGGTCTAGCAACTCTTGACTACACAGCCATTAGGCACTGAGGTATGTGAGCAGCAGCAGAATCCTGCTCCAACACAATCTACAACCTCATGGCCTGGCAATGCCCCACTCCAACCTTACGATCAAGACTGGTTCAATGGAAAGTGCACCAGGAGCAGCACCAGGCATACCTGAAAATAAAATCTCAATCTGTGAAGTTACATAATAGGGCTACGTGTATGCCAAACAGCATAAACAGCAAGTGACTGAACTAACGATTCCACAACCAATAAATCAGATCAAAGCTCTGCAGTCCTGCCACATCTAGTCCTGAATAGGGGTGAACAACTAAACAACTGAGAGCTGGAGGAGACTCCACAATAATCCAATCCTCAATGATAGAGGAAGACAGCACATCAGTGCAAAAGATAAGGTATTTGCAATAATCTTTGGCCAGAAGTGGTCAGTAGACGTTTGATCTTGGCCTCCTCCAGAGATCCCAACATCACAGGTGACAATTTTTAGCCAATTTAGTTCACTCCACATGATATTAAGAAATGGTTGAAGCCACAGGCAAGATTCCTGAGCAGAGTTTGTACTGATGTAGAGTATCTTGCAACATCCTTGGACTCCCTTTCAACAGCACTATAGGTGTACCCACACCACATGTACTGCAGTGGCTCAGCAAGGTAGCACACCTCACACCTCCACCTTCTCAAGGGCAATTAAGTACGTATCTGTTAGAGGTATATAGGCGAAATGATGAGATACCAACAAGAGGGAAGAGGTTCCATTTATTCAGGAAGATGTGAAATCAGGGTGAGGCAATATCATGGAGGTGAAACACCAAAAACAGGGACTAAAGGGAAAAGCCATTGATGAATTGAACAAAATAAGCAAGGATAGTTTGTTGTGGCCTTACCCATTAGTGATCCTAACCAGACAGAGTTCTGGTTGTATGGATAGCAACGAAGCTAGACTGAAGCATTTCAAGCACTGGGATTAAAATAATATCAACATATTAAACCTATATCAACATATTATTATGAATTTGATGAGCAAATACTTACATTGTTGAGTGTGTTTATTTATCAATGTTTCTTTGTTAATGCTTCTTTATTTCTCTATAATAAAGACAGCTGAGAATGCTGAGCAGAATTATGAGTAACAGCAATACGATCATTAAAGGCATCATGTAATGACGTTGCTGCTGATCATCTGCAATTAAATATATTAAAAGATTTTGTCGTGCTACACCAACAACAACATAACATCATGAATACAGAAAAATGTCCTCAGGTACTTCAGAGGATCAACTAGACAAAAATATAGAAGCTAAACTAAAGGTGATATTAGGAGGTCATTGAAACAAAAATATGTTTTAAAGTGGATCTTTTAGTAGGAGTGAGAAAGACAAGTAGTTGGAGTTCTTAATTGATTTCCTGTGTGCATTTTATTTTACAACATCTCTGAAACAGGGTGACAACTGTTCAGAAATAACAAAATAATTATTGACACTGGCTGAAAATATTTAAAAGCATTTCTAAATGCTTTAGAAATTCTGCTTAAGAACACATGTAAAATACAGGGGATAATCTTAGTCCAACCAACCAGGGGAGTTCAGATCAGTGGACAGTAAATTTGGTCTGTCTTTCTCCTCACTAAAATAACTAACGCCTGAAGGAAGCCAGTTTTTTTACCGCTTAGTTGTCACTGTAAGCTGTGACTTTTAATGAACAACTAATAGATTTTATCGTTAACGTACCAGCCGCTTGTGTCCCCTGTGAAGAAGTGATGGAGATCTTGAGAGGTCAGATTGAAGAACACCGAGTCCTGGCATGCAAAACGGTGATCTCAGTAAACCCTGTGGACTAGGACAATTGAATTCTTTCCCAGATTTTTACCTGCACATATTATACACCAAGGTTTTTTATCTGTGTGTGTGTGTGTGTGTGTGAGAGAGAGAACGGAGTGAGGGGCATTGCTAGTTCTAGAACTAAGTTAGAGTTTTACCTAGTTAAGTTATATGTTGACAATTCACACTTGTTTTCCTGCATTTAGAATCCATTTATTTGTAACAAATAGAAATTATATTAATGAATGGAACCTAGACCATGCAAAGGGAGGTAGATGCTTGGAACTCTCTTCCACAAACGGCAGTGGATGCAGGATGAGTTGTAAACTTCAAATCTGAGATAGATAAAGTTTTGTTGACCAAAGGTATTAAGGGATATGGGCCAAAGGCTGTTATATGAAATAAAAACCGAAAGAATTGCAGATGCTGTAAATCAGGAACAAAAACAGAAGTTTCTGGGAAAGCTCAGCAGGTCTGGCAACATCTGTGAAGAAAAAATCAGCCTTAATGTTTTGGGTCCGGTGACCCTTCCCCTGAGGAAGCTGTTATATGGAGTTAAGCCACAAATCAGCCATGATCTACTGAATGTAGGACAGGCTTGAGGGGCTGAATGGCTGACTCCTGCTCCAATATTCCTATGTTTTCTGTTAACTGGGGTCTATTAGGCAGATATTTTGGGGAATTTTCGATGTTTTGTTAAAATCTTAACCACCTTCTGAAGTGGCCAAGTGATAAAAACCCTTCATTGGGCAAATAGGGATAGGCCGCAAATGTCATCTTTGCCAGTGAGGCCCACATCCCACAGAAGAATTTTAAAATGGTGCCCAGTCTATCCTAAGAGTGGCTAAGACCCATTGTTCTGCACCTACCCTCCACAGAGCTGGAGGAAACATTGGCGTGCAGTCTATTCTATAACAGACTCCAGCATTTTCCCTGTTACTGATGGGTCAATCACAGATGGCAGTCCTAAAGTTCTGTTACTGAATGGGAGGGTTATACATTGAATTATTTCATTATTCACTTCTTCTGTTCATAAACAGAGATTTAAAAATAAAACTGCTTATTTTGTTTTTTTCTTTTGAAATGGTTTGTGGTGTATTTTCCTGAAAGCCTCTATTTGTGAAGTTCATTTGAAAAAAGATAATTTACAGCAGACTCCTCAGGATTAAAAACAGAACTGTGGTTTATTCATGCAACCCTGGGAGTTAATTGTTGCAACACACACACACAATGACAGACAGACATATACATACACACACACACACACACACACACACACACACACACATGTGACACACACACTGACAGACACACACATACATACACAGTTCCTTAATTGTTGCTGAGCCAATATTTTAGAACTACCTCTCTAATGGCATTATAGGTCCACCTACAGCATATGGACTGCAGCATTTTATGAAAACAGCTCACCACCACCTTCTCAAGGGCATCTAGGGACAGGCAATAAATGCTGACCCAGTCAGTGATGTCCATGTCCCACAAGTGTATTAAAAAATACAATTGTAAATAACATACAACAAATAAATTTTTTTTCAATCTGGTCAGAATTCCAACTGGGGTAGAGGGAGTGGTCTGGTTTATGGAGGGGTGAGGTTATTAGAAGTCATGATGAGAGGTTGATTGTTGGTTCCAAGGTCAGGGGGAGGTATTTCCTTGGTGTTTGGAGGATGAGAATTGAGTTGAGCATTGCATCAAGTGGGATGTCCATGGGAAGGTTAGTGGTGAATTATGGGTTGGAATTGGGGATTAGGGCGAGGGAAGGTGGTCAGGAGTTTGTGGAATATTTGAAGTGAGTGAGTGTTGGGGCTATCAGGGTACAAGTCAAGATTGAGGTTATCTAGTTAGCAAGGAGATAGAACACATCTTAATTCCTCTAAAGTATCATGGCTAGTTTTGAAGTTAAGTGTGTTGGAACCCTCTGAAGGGTTCTAGACACTGGTTAATTGCTGATTGGAAAGTTCAACTTGCAAGGCAGTTCTTATGGAGCCCAGTGTGTTGGGACTTCCCTAAACTCCTGATGTGTATGTTCATTCTCTGTGTCAGCAACATCTGTGAAAATAGAGCAGACTGTGATCCTGGACCTATCAGGCTATTAAAATAATGAAAGGGAGAATTGGAATCAGTGCAGGAAAATATTACAAGGAAATTTATCAAATTGAGGAAAGGCTCAGCAGGTCAGAAATATTTTCACTTGAAAAAAAGAGACGGACAGGAAACCCGTTTTAGTGATTTCTGAAGTAGTTTGGTACGGTGGGTGTTGGGGAAGTGTTTCCAGAGTGGATGAGTGATGAAAAGAGAATGTAAATAGCAGACAAAATAATTTATGAAGAATTTCTTTGTGCTGTGTGTGGGGAATTTGGATTTTATGGCTGACTTGGATGAGCTGAAACAGATAGCTTTAATGCATTTAGAGGAGACTTGATTGTATTCAGCAGGGAGGAAGGAACATGTGAAAATATGTGTCTTTAACAGGGATTTGTTTTGTCCTGTTTCTCTTGAAGAGGAGTGTTGTAAACATGGTACCAAGGTGTCTGTTCCATGGAAAGCAGAGTAAACAGCTTGGACAAAAGAAGCATTTTTTAAAATTCATTCACAGAATGTGAGCGTTGCTGGCTAGGCCAGCATTTATTGCCTGTTGTAGCGGTCTATGACTAAATTGACACAATGTCTGTTTTTTTAGCCGATACAAAATGGCCAAGAGGGTTTGACAGATAGGTACAGCAGATTTTCATAGCTGGACTTGTAGTCTCCATACAGATGTACTAGATAGGATGAGATTCTCCGGAGGAAGAAACATTAGGGAAGTTAGTCAGGTTTCTGTAAACAGGCAGTTCTAAACATATAAGCATTCTAATAAGGGGCATTTTTATAAGGCCTAGATTAGCCACAGTCCCAAGTTTGTTACATAGTAAAAAGTAGAAGGAAAAGTCTGATCCTACGGTATTCTGAACTGTATAGGTAATTGTACAATTAGAAAGGTGAACAACAAATTAATCTGAAAAGTTGCATTCCTTCAGCAAATGTTTATCGGCAATAAAGAGGCCCAATACATTTTTAGGGAAGATAAAGGAATGAATGGTGTAAATGCAACCTCCAAACACACCACTGGCACAGGAGAAAGTTTGTAAAAAGACAGGTCACAACACTGTAGCTCAGTGATAACAAGTTGTGGAGCTGGAGGAACACAGCAGGCTAGGCAGCATCAGAGGAGCAGGAAAGCTGACGTTTCGGGTCTGGACCCTTCTTCAGGAATACGTTTGTAAAGAAGGGTCTAAACCCGAAACATCAGCTTTCCTGCTCCTCTGATGCTGCCTGGCCTGCTGTGTTCCTTCAGCTCCGCACCTTGTTATCTCAAACTCCAGCCTCGGCAGTTCCTTCTATCTCACAGTAGCTCAGTGGTTAGCACTGCTGCCTCACAGCACCAGGAACCTGGGTTCAATTCCACCCTTGAGCAACTGTCTGTGCAGAATTTGTATGTTCTCCTTGCGTCAGTGTGGATTTCCTTCAGTGCTCTGGTTTCCTCCTGCAGTCCACACATGTGCAGGTTAGGTGGTTAAGCCATGGGAAATGCAGATGGACAGGGTAGCAGTGGTTGGTTCAGGATGGGATTCTCTTCAGAGGGTCAGTGTGGACTTAATGGGTCAAATGCCCTGCTTCCACACTGTAGGGATTCTATGATCTATGACCAGGGAAAGGTAAACAATTGAAACTTAAGTGCAGATGTAGATAATTTGACCAAATTCTTGCATTGAAAGATCAGGGGAAAAGTGACAAAGACACATTACAACATACAGAGTGAAGATGTGGTTATGTGGAATCTAAGCAAGTTTTATTTAAAGGCTTGGTAAAGTTGTAAAGTGGTTGAATTACACCCTCATCAGTGCAATTCAAATAGATGCTCTTTATTAGGAAAGGATAAGTAGTGATGGGAAGTGTTTAGAGTAGAAATAGTAAAGATTTATCTTTATAATGAAACTTTAGTTAGAAATCCACTTACAGCATGTAAATACCGGGGGTTGTAAACTGCAGCTGCATGTCAGAAGAACCGTTGTTCGATCTCTCAGGCTGAAGTGAGAGAGGGGTTGTTCTCAATTTGTCATCTGTGTCACAGTAATTTTATATTCAAGTTGATTCTAAAGATTTTATAATAATTGGTAGAAATTAATATCCTTCCTAATCTGCCATTCTAAAGTTAGTATACAATTTGGAAGACTTCTTGGTGAAAAGCAACTATTTAGTTTATTGGTAAATACTGCAGTGCAGCTAGCTAGGGTCTGAGAAGGAATAAACTGTCATAAACATTGTAAGATCCTAAAGACAGATGATGGAGCTATCTGGTAGAGACCACAAGATTACAGGAGGACCTAGGGCTATCCATAGAGTTGTCCATTGATTGTGTATTTACTGGACTGACTGTATAGGTTAGGGGATGTGGCTAACAATGGCGTCAATGTTGCATGTAATTATTGTAATGCAAAAGGTATAAAAATGTTTTATTTCACTGGGGAACTCAGAGCATTATTGACCTTCCGATCTGAGCTGTATTAAGAGGGTAACTTGGCCTCACATGAAAGCCAGATTTGGGATGGTCTCTGGTCTCTCCCACATATGTGATAATAGAGTTCTGAATAAAGACCGTTTGTGCCAAGGAACCCAGGACTTAAGACTTCTCTTTGATATTTCTCTCTACAACATTGCCCATCCCTAATTGCACAGAAGGCAGGTAAGAGTCAACCACATTGCTGTGTGTCTGGAGATGATGCTGTTATATTGGAACAGTTAATGATTAATAGTCAAATAATATATTATTTTGTAAAGTGTTTTGATAGAGATGCTAATTCTATTTTTTTGTTTCTATTTTAACTGTGTTGTAAGAATAAAAAGTGTGTTTTGCTTAAAGCCTAGTAGCTTGATCAATCAAATCACATCTGGAATGCAGTGCCTCACACTTGTGCTTACATAAGATAAAAAGGTCAAGGTTATCTCCTTGGTATGTATTGAGGGGGTTTGGTCTGGTCCATAACAAACAAGCAATAGTGGGGCATAATGGAATAAGGCAGCTGAGTGGAAGGAAACCTGTGTGAATTGTAAACATTGCCATAGACAGAGTTGAATGGCCGAGTTCTGTTCTATGAATTCTACAGGGAAGAAAGTGGAGTTATACAGAATTACATTGATTTCCTGCAGACAGGCAGCCCTGAATGTGCATAGCCAATGTGGCATTCAATGTGATAAAGAAAACTAAACAGGCCTTGCAGCTAGAGAGGCATGTTGCTCTGCCTACACCTGAGAAATCGAAATGGTCAGCACAGCTGTAAAATTTTTCCCCCTGTATTTACGATAACTTTATACTGTGAATAGATGTCCCAAAACATTCCATGAAAATAAAGTTTCAACTCTGGTTTTGCAGTTTTGTCCTCTAACTTTTCCTTCACATCTTAATTTTTCCACAAATAAATATTAAATAAAATGTATTTTGCATTTTGGGCTAGTATCAACTTATATTGAGTCTTAGAGTGGACATCCAGTTTTGAAACAGACATTCAATCTAAGTCAAGATTAAAATATTACAATATTACAAAACCAGATTTTAAAAAATATTATAAACAAGCAACTGCAATTTTATAGTCATATATTGCTATCCTGAAAAATACTAATTTACTAACACTAATTAGTATGAAAGGAAGCGTTCTATGTATATTACAAAATATTATAATTTTTCTCTTGCAAATTGTTCAGTTTTTAACATGGGTTTGCAAGAAAATATGCTTAATTTTTCAACTTGAAACTGAAGTTAAAGAACTTAAAAATTACTGAGGTGTATGTATCAGATTTCAAGACTTACCTGGAAAAAAATATATGGATCCCAATGCAGTTCCAACTGCATTGCTTGCTGCACAAGTATAAAGTCCATAAAGGTCAGGAGTCCACTTGGACAGTTTAATTTGATTGTTTTCTATTATGACACTTTCTGGGATAGAGCCATTGTCTATAATAAAAACAGAGTGAGTATAAGATATTATATTTGCTTCAATCAAATAGGATACAGCATTCTGATGATTGTACATAGTTATTACTTAGTGGAACAGAACAAACGGCAGTTTGTTTTTGGCAGTCTACAGTTCATGTCTACTAGAAATAGTTACAGTGATACAAGGAATGCAACAGTGCACTGTGTTTAAATCGAGCTTGTTAACATGGGAACCTTCAACAAGGCATTTCAAATGTAAACATAATGGAAACACAATTTAAGGGTTTAGCATGTATATAAGATTGATGTAGAATGTGTTCTACATGATAATATGTTGAATGGCATTGTTCTGGTCATCTCAGTTATGTTAGAATCAACACCCATTAAGACATTATGTAGGTTAAAGAATATTGGAGTACTTTTGGGGGGGGGGGTGGAGCTTGTTTATTTGGGGTGTCATAATATGTGACCAAATACAGTAGAGATAGGGGGAAATTTAGTAAGTACTAGTTTAGATAGATGTGGTGTAGGAGCCTCTTCGGTTGTATATGTTAATCCAATATACGTTACAAAAGAGGCAAAAATGTGGATTTGGTGGAGACCGTTTGGGCAGCAAAAGAGCCAAACCTGTTGCATTCATGGGTGATGGGAGATGGGAGATATTGTGTAGCCACACACAGCAAGAGTTTCAATAAGAGAACCTGCAACATGTTGAAATAAATAGAGGCAAGCTGTGGGAAGCATGAAAGATAACCTGACACAATACCTGAATCTATTCTCCTTTGCATCTCACCAGTAATCAAACATTTCACCATAATCTGGGATGAGGAACAGTGACTGCCTAGAAAATATTATATACTCCAGATACGGGTCTGAGCCTTAGCAGATAGTACTGAATGTCTAGACTCTGTCAGCTATTAGATGGAACTGTAGAATTGGGATACAAATACGTAGATACACCTGTGGATTCAAATCATCTCTCTTGCACAACTGCTATTAATTTTATATCTAACATGCCCAAAATGGGAGTTCATATAGAAGCTGAGGGTGAGATTCAGAAATCAGTGCAATATGGCATTAGGTCAAGGACCTCACCTTAAGGATCAAAAAACAAGGATGGTTTGATCTGTTGCCTTTACAATCCTAAAGTGTATACCTGGCCAGTACTGACAGGTGATGTTGCATAAAGGAAAATGACAACACCACTGTAATGGTTACCTTGGGCTAGGCCAAAAGTGGGGAGCTGAAGGGGTTAAGTTAGTTAAGGGTTAAAGCTTTAGCCGTATGGTCAATAACTAGTGAAGCCTGCAAAGTATATGGGAACTGAAAAGAAAGCCAGATTGTCAAGGTTTATTGTTAGGAAGTTATGTATCAAAGTTCTTTGATAAAGAACAGACAATGCCTACAAAGACTGTGTGAAACAAAGATAACATGGGCCACGTGGATATTGAACAGTGGGAATTGTAATATGTACACTGTAATCTGTATAAAGTTTGAAGGTATCTCAGCAGACTGAGCTTTGACCACAGCTGTTAAAGCTTCTCTCCACACAAGCATACAAAATAAACAATCATTCTGTTCCCTGGATGTCCTCTTATCAATCTGTCACATTGACTAATCACAAAAATTTATGATGTATTATTACCAACAATACAAACTCCCAATTAGAAATTACTTCCACAGGAATATTGAGTGGCCACTTTTTTGGCCAGTACACTAAACTCCGTTCATCTGTCTCCAATATTTCCCGTCCACCTGGAACCCTCTTACCCTCCTTTGCTTGTTTTACTTAGAAATACTAATGTGAAATTCACTGTCTGATTTTCTCTGCTCTCAGTCTCAATGTACACTGTATACTTTATAATTTAGGTACCAATGTAGGTGGTATGATCAGGAAGTTTGCAAAGGACATGAAAATTGATTGTGCGGTAAATGGAGGGGAGGAAAGCCTTCACAACAGGCCATTATGGATGGGCTCGTCACATGGGCTAAACAGTGGCAAATGGAACTGAATCCTGAAAAGTGTGAGATGATGCATTGTGGGAAGACTAACAAGGCAAGGGAGTATATATTGAATGGCAGGACCTTACGAAATAGAGGATCAGCAGGAACTCGGTGTATTTGTCCATAGATTTTTTAAGGTGGCAGGAGAGATAGATAAGCTGCTTAAGCAGGAAAAAGGAAATAATCCTATTTGCCTCTATTAGTCTAGACTTTGAATACAAGAACAGGAAGCTTATATGAAAACTGCATATAATGTTAGTTAAGCTACAGCCTACCATGCAGAACCTTGTCAAAGGCCTTGCTAAATTCCATGTAGACAATATCGACCACTCTATCTTGGTAACCTCTTCAAAAAACTCAATCAAATTTGTGAGACATGATATCCCATGCACAAAGTAAAACATGATTAACATTTACTCACCTACTTGTATAAAATTCCTCGCTCAGACAAACACTATATTATCAGTTCTACTTTTCCTGGAACCATGTTAACCATTATGACAGTTAGAAGTGTGAAATTCTGGACTATTTTTGCTGGCAGTCCACAACCATTAGAAATTTAGATGGAGACTGAGTGAACTCTTTACAATTAGCAGAAAACAGAAAACATTTGCTCCAGCTGAATTTGAATTCAGCTCCCAAAGCGTAAGAGACTTCATAATATATTTTACATTTTATTTCCCCTTGGCACAGTTTTGCCCAATGAAAACTCAGTTTGGCAACTTTAAGCAGTGCTCCCAAGTCCAAATCTGCATGAGGTACAGTTTATTAATGGTAAAGGATGGAGAATTGCACAAGGCAGGAATTGGTCAAAAAGATCTTCAGGTGACTGCAAAACTGCAATGTTTTTATACGGTCATACCAGCCCTTCTCACTATTTCAGCAATGAAACAAACATGTTCTTACTTTGTCCAGATGTAGTCAGTAGGAGATGGGTTAGCATTTGCAGCACAAATCAGGCATAAATAGCCATCTTCAGTCCTCTGAAATTTAATAAAAACTGGCAACATATCTAGAAATAAAAAAAGTTTTCTTTAGAATCAAATTCTGTAAATCATTAAAAGCATTGAGTAATTCAAACTTACACGTTTGAGGAAAGACAATAATTCTGCATGGAAATTATACCCAGAAATATGTTCTCTACCCTGAAACATTCTGTTAATGTTTAGCCACCATATGTTGAGTAGATTCATTCTGCATTCACATTATCCTTTATCCCTTCTTCACTAAGAAAAAAATGCTGGAGTATAAATTAAATTGGCAACTTGCCACTGCCAGTTTTGTACTAGCTTACAAGATTAACTTCACCCATTCTATACCTGGATAAGAACTGGTCTGAAGACTATAGCAGATCAGTGTAGATAGGAACAATCAAACACAGAACAAAATATGAGAGCTTCTCTATTAATTAGGGCAGTTGAAATGTTATTCACAATGTAATATATTTCATGTATCAAAATATAATTGGATTTAGTACATTCAACATTGCAATTGCTATCTCCTCCACTGACATTGATTTCAAATGCTGAATGGCAATTTCAGGGTTGACTAATTGAATTTGTAATTTATATGTTTGTGAATGCTAAAAAGGTTAAAGAGACATGCTTCAGAACAAACCCTTTTCTGCTCATCATGGAGAGGGTCTGATAGGTGTAGGGGTACGGTGGGGGTCGTGATGATGATTGTGGTGTCCAGCTGGGGGAATGGTGAGCAGTAAAACCCAGGAAAGGAAGTAATTCTGGACTGAGCTGCTGTGTCACATTATGGATGGGGTGCTATCTTTCCACGCTCAAATGAAAGCACAGCAATGTTGGAGCACGCAAATGTTTGCAGCCGCCAAAAAAATACAAAGATGGAAAAAATGAAATAGCGGAAGAGGAAACAATTGCAGAAGTTTGGAAAATGAATGCAGTATTTTCTTCCAATCTCTCATGCAGTTAGTAGTTTTGGACCAGTGGTCGAAACACTGGACAGCCCACTAGAACCTGGTAATCATTTAGTCTGAATCACTGTAGAGATCAAATATTCAAAAAAAATCCCAAAACAGGGCAAGAAGCACAAAATAAAATGAAGGTAGTAGCAGGAAAAGCCGTGCTACCATTGTTGTTTGTATTGTATTTTTCCAGATGCTCACCACTTGCTGCATGATAATGTATTTCCACATGTTGCATTTGAATCCTTGACTATTCATCTTAAATTGGCGTCCTCTGCTTCTTGAACCTTCCACCAATGGGAACACTTTCTCTCAACTACTCCATTCAGACCCTTTACAATTTTGAAAATCCCTCTCCAAATTCCTTCCTATGTCTTCTTTGAGGAGACCAACACTAGCTTTGTGAATCTATCCATGTAAGTGAACTTCCTCATCCCTGGATCCATTCTCGCAAATGTTTTCTGTATTGTGTCTAATGACTTCACACCCTTCATATAGTGTGGTGTCCAATAATTGGACACATGACTCAGCTGAAGCCAAACTAAAATTTTAAATAGCATTATCATAACTTCTTTGCTCTCGCACTTTATTCCTCCATTCAAAAGCATAGGGTCTTGCTAGTTTCTCAACATGCCCTGACATTTTCAACAATTTGTATGTATTCACTCCATGACCTCACTCCATTTAGTTCAACATCCTATTTTATACTGTATGTCCTTACCTTTCCTTGTAAAATGTATCATCCACAATAATTACACATAAGTCACAAATTATTAACCTCGGTGCCTCATTCATTATGCATTTGAATTTCTGAAATTCCTTATTCTTTTATGCCTTCATTCAAGAGGCTTGACAATAATTAACTACCTGTATAACTACACTGGATTTATAGAAATGAAAGGGCAAGCTTTCTGCAAATTAAACTAATGATTAGAGATAGCAAGAACTGCAGGTACTGGAGTCAGAGTTAACAGTGTGTGGAGCTGGAGGAACACAGCAAGTCAGGTAGCATCAGAGGAGCAGGAAAGTCGACGTTTTGGGTCAGGACCCTTCATCAGAACCTAATCAGAAACTCTTGATTGGGAACTTATGTTTCACTTCTTGTCCTATTTTTTCTTCATGCTTCATTTCAATGTAATGGCAAAACAATTCCTGGAGGGCAACAGGTACAGGAGTAGGCCATTCAGCCCCCTGAGCCTGTTCCACCATTCAATGGCTGATCTGTGGGCCTAAAATAGATTAATGATGGCTCCAGTTGGCCTCATGAGTAAACACAGAGGCTGATGCTGCACAATTTTATCCGGTTCCGCATTTAATCCTTGTTTGTGCTGTGTTGTCCGTCAAGAACTGAGACAACAGTTGGGGGAAAAGAATGTACCTATGCACCAGATTGAGTAGAGGGAATATCAGGACCACCCGCGGTTCCTACTCCCAATTACAATTCAATCAGTGTATCTGGACAATAGACATTTTATGGTAATCCATCCATAATCAACTGGTCTGCGCATAAACATGGAAAACATCCCATGAGTTAAATATTACAGGGCTGCACAGGTAGGGACCATTAAAGTGGTGTCAGAATAGGTTCTACTTCACTCTTTGTGCCTCATTGTGTATTTACCTGAAACATGTAAACAGGTATAGCGACAAATTAGTACAGAATTGTAATTACAGTGAACATTCAGCCGATAAGGAACTCGTTTTGAAGTGCTGAGGGCTGGGTGTTCCACCACACAATAAATATTCTGCCCATGAAGCGACTTATTTGGACACAGATGAAACTGACTGGAGGCGGTCACAGTCCCATTCACAGCGGGAGGCCCAATACTTTGATTAGCATCTATAATGAAAGGTCCTTCCCAAGTGATACTGGTGGCTGGTTTGGCAAATGCTGCAGTACAGGTGACAACGTGGCATTCACTGTCGTCAATCAGAGAGATAACTGGATGTATCATAACAGTTGGGAGAGCTAAATTGAGAGAAAAAAAGTGTAGTTTAGAACATTGAAGTTAGAATTGTAGAATTCCTACAGTGCGGAAGCAGGCCATTTGGCCCATTGAGTTCACACTGACCCTCCAAAGAGCATCCCACCCAGATCCACTTCCTATAACCCTGCATTTCCCATGGGATAATCCACCTAGCCAGCAATCCCTGGGTATGGGCAATCTAGCATGGCCAATCCACCTAACCTGCACATCTTTGGACTGTGGGACGAAACTGGAGGAAACCCATGCAAACACGGGGAGAATGTGCAAAATTCACACAGACAGTGTCCCTCCACCACCGACACTCAGTAGCAGCAGTGTGCACAATCTACAAAATGCAATGCAGAAATTTACCAAAGATCCTCAGACAGCACCTTCCAAACCCATGACCACTTCCGTCTAGAAGGACAAGGGCATCAGACATATGAGAACACCATCACCTCCAAGTTCCCCACCAAGCCACTCACCATCCTGATTTGGAAATATATTGCTGTTCCTTCGCTGTCGCTGGCTCAAAATCCTGGAATTCCCTCCCTAACAGAATTGTGGGTCAACCTACAGCAGGAGCGGTTCAAGAAGGCAGCTCACCACTACCTTCTCAAGGGTAACTAGGGACGGGCAATAAATGCTGGCCAGCCAGCGATACCCACATCACACAAATGAATAGAAAAGTCACCCGAGGGTGGAATTGAACCTGGGTCCCTGATGCTAGGAGGCAGCAGTGCTAAAAAAAAGTTATTCTTTTTGTTGAACCTTTCTTTAATTCGATACACTATCTTGTTCAGATTTACACTTCATAGTAAGTACATTTAAATTCTGCACTGGATCTCTCAATCTCCTGCTGTAGTGGACCAATATAATCCATAATAAAAAGTGGATAAAACCTGGAAATGGTAGGGTTAAATTAACAAAATGGAAGAGTCGTTCAGCCCTGTCAAGCTTATGGAGACCCTGCAAAGCACTGGGAAATAGAATCTGCAACTTCTCTTAAATAAACACTACATACAAGTGTGGACACAGAATATTAGAGTGCTATAATAATAAACAGTATCCTTGGGATAGTCAGGACAGCAGTTTGTCTTTTAGCACCACCTCCAGAAAGGACCTTATACACTGGAACTTCCACTTCTATTCCCATGTGTGAAAGGAACCACACCTCTGATTTCCTATACCTTTTCAGGATGGTTACATTCTTATTCATTTACTTAAGGTATTTATATGTGGCTGCTGTGCACCTGGATAAGTACTGTTAGTCTGGAATTGCCATGCACAGTTCCTCAAATTTTCCCCAGCTGCGGAAGACAGGAGGAAATCGGTACCCTGCTTTGTGTCAGGGATCTGGAGGTGTGGTGCAGATACGGGACACCAGAGATTACCAATCGAATCAGTCAGTTTCAGCCATCTGGAGGAATGTGGGAAGACGGTCAATGACCTTCTCCATTTTGCGAGCATAAGTGTGATGATTTTCTCTCCTATACCCCTCATTCAGTCTATCTCTGCTACTGTGCTCACCTTCCCGCAACAGATGTTCTACTACTCTCGCTATTGCCTGTAATATCTTTTCCGTTCACTGTCTCCCACCCAACTCCCAACAGCACTAACCCTGCATGCCCTCTTTGTTGCTGACTCATTCACTCAGGACATCTCCCAATCTGCACCAAAAATAACAGCTGTGCCACCCACTCCAACCTTCCTTAATACGTGTCTCTCTCTCTCTCATTCGAGGAGGAAAACAGCCCACAATAAGACAGAAAGAGTCATGATTGGTGGTGGGCTGCCTCATATTCAGTCCCTCATTCCTTATGAGATGGGACTCTGACTGTGACCACCTGACTGACTGTGTTTATGCCACTGGACTAGTATCGGAGACTGCCCTTATTTTACAGTACCAGGGAACCCCAAGCAAAGGCTATCTCCCATGATTTGACTCAGACCCGCTGACAACTATGACAATCTTCCTGACTTGGTGCCTATGCTAAGTGGCATGGCAAGACAGTAATACTGAGGCACCTCGAACTGAGGGGGCAAAGCATAAAAAAGCAAGCCAAGTTAATGCAAGGCAGGAATGCCGAGCATCTATGGTAACCACATGGGACTTACTGGAACTCACAAGAATGATTCTGAAAAAGGATCCCTGGCATGGTTTGACTGTATATTTACTCTCTGGCTTCTTGGTATATATTGCACGGATCTTAAAACTGCACATCCTTGTGAAGACCAGACAAGTAAGATAGCCAAAAAAAAACCCCGAAAGAACTGCGGATGCTGTAAATCAGGAATAGAAACAGAAGTTGCTGGAAAAGCTCAGCAGGTTTGGCAGCATCTGTGAAGGAAAAAACGAAGTTAACATTTCAGGTCCGGTGGCCCTTCCTAAGAACTGTAAAAGTAAAAAAGCCAGTTTATTGATGTCTGAGGTTTCTGTATTCCTCAATATCTTGCCTTAGGAATTTCATCTGCAAACCACAAAATCTCTTTACAATATCTGGATGGTACCACTACTTGATGAACATCCTTTCACTTTTTATCCGAGGTCTGTGAAGAGATCTCCATTTCCGCACTAGAACCCCACTGTAATCAGAGTTACGTCCTGGAACTCCCTCATCCTCAGCCTCAGTGCAGGCTGATTGTACGAACTTGCACTTAACCTCGATCAAAGAATACTTACTGAACACTCTTTGGAATTATGTACACCTTTAAAATTAATAATCTGTTGGCTAAACCATGCTAAATCAGAAATGTTTATTGTATGAACAAATTCATGAGATGCAATTCAGGGGTGGTTCCCTAGTGTGGAATAATTGTCCATCAGCAAAGGCTTAACAGATTCAGACTGTACTCATTGGAATTTAGAAGAATTAGAGGTGATCTCTAGATACAAGATTCTTAAGAGGCTTGACAGGGTAAATGCTGAGTGGATGTTTCCCCTCATGAGAGACTCTAGGACCAGAGGATATAGTCTCAGAATAAAGGGGCACCGGTTTAAGACTGAGATGAGGAGGAATTTCTTCTCTCAGTAGGTTGAGAATCTTTGGAACTCCTTGCCACAGAGAGCTGCGGATGCAAAGTCCTTTAAGGCTGAGATGGATAGATTTTGATCAGTAGGGAAATCAAGGGCTATAGGGAAAGGGCAGGTAAGTGCATGTGAGGAGAGTCGAATCAACCACAATTCTATTGGGTGGTGAAGCAGGCTCGAATGGGCCAAATGGCCTACTCCTATTCCTATTTCTTATAGTCTTCCTCATTCTATCTGAAATGCACAACCAGAACATATATTAAACAGAACATCTGGACACTTTTTGACTCGTAACTTTTATGAAACTTTCCAGCACTTTGTTCAATGAGGCAGATCAATTGGCAGCTTTCAGGGGTTTGTATTTCTGACTTGCTCGATTAGTTGAACAGAAAGCCTAGTGCTTGATCTCTGACCTTTCTTCTAACTGTGTGTGGTACACTTTAATTTAATCCATAGACTCACAGAGTTTTTACACCACAGAAAGAGGCCTTTCAGCCATCATGTCCACATCAGTCATCATATATCCATCTATTCTAGATCCATTTACCAGCACTTGACCAGAAGCCTTGTATGCTATGATGTTTCAAGTGTTCATTTAAATAGTTCTTAAGTAGCTTGAGGGCTCGCCCCTCTATCACCCTTTTAGGCACTGTGTTTTACATACCATAACTCTCTGGGCGAAAACCGTTTCCTTCAAATTCCCTCTAACCTCCTGCTCCTTGCCTTAAAACTGTGTCACCTGGCTTTTGACCCCTCTGCTAAGGGGAATAGTTTATTCCTATCTAATTCCCTCGGAACTTAGTAGGACCTCAAGCAGATGCCCCCATCAGCCTTCTTTGTTCTAAGAAAACAACCCCATTGTATCTAGTCTCTCTTCATAGCTGAATCATTCCAGCTCGGGCAGCACGCTGGGTGAATCTCTTCTATACCCATTCCACTGGGATCACAACCTTCCTATAGTGTGGTGACCACAACTGCACACAGTACTCCAGCTGTGGTCTAGCTAATGTTACGGGTATTTTGAACCAATCTATTAGATTTGTTATGCATCACTGCTGGAGCAGGTGGGACTTGAACCCAGACCTCCTGGCCTAGAGATGGGGACATGAGCCCACGTTAATTAGTGTTATATACATTATAACCTCTTACCTTTTGTATTCAGTACCTTGCCTAATAAAGGCATGACCCATATGCTACCTTAATCATATAAAATCAGCCTGCATTGCTGCCTTCCATAGTCTGTGGACATGGCTGTGATATCAGTATGGGTGGGTATTCTGCTGCACCAGACTACTGACCATCCAGGTGAGCTGCCAATCAAACCTGTCAATTTGGTACAGAATCTTCTGTCAGCTGCCATCTCAGCATGGCCTGTTCTGCTGAGTTGCTGTGGGATTAAGTGAAAAGGAAAAGATTTAATGTTAATATGTATGAACAGCACTCAGAAGTATTTGCTTTGTCAAAATTTTCTTTTGTCCCAAATGGTTAGAGCTATCAATTTTCGAACTTACTAAATTACCTACCCCACCTCACCTCAATCCCCAATGGTTCCATTATTTTATTATTTGGCAAGTTTAAAAACAGGTCTGATTTTAATAAATGAATCCTTGGGATTATGAAACTGACTTGACATCAAAATCCAGCTCGAACCAAAAAGATTTTTTCGATCATTTATTAAAAAGAAAACTCAAAGTGACAGAGCTCTTCAGACTGCCTGGACAGAGAAGTTCTCAGGGGTGTGATATTTACATTTCAGAATTTGATCTGATATCTTCTATATGGCTTTAATGCAGTCATGTGATTTTTCGCAACAATTTCCAATGGTCCTGAAACTTCTCTGGGAGTTCATACCATCTCTGTGAAATTACAACAGCAAACTGGGGCATCTAGGCTGATTTTCAGAGCCATTTGGGGAGTGTGGGCTAGGGACTGTTGGGGAGAGGGTAGGGACAGTGTGTGTGGGGGTTTGGGGGCATAGAGACTGTGTATGCAGGGGGTGGGATTGGGGACAGTGTCTGTGGGGGATTAGGGTGAGAATGTGGGTGGAGAGATTGTGTATGTGTGTGCGTGTGTGTCTTGGAAAACTGTGTGTGGCAGCTAAAGAGTGTGAGAATGAGATGGATAGAATGAGTATGTGGGGGGTAGTGTGTATGTTAGGTGGGGATTGTGTGTCCGGGGAAGAGTGTGTGGTGGGGAGGAGAGTGGTGTGGGGATGAGAGTGTGTGGTCGGGGGAGTATGTGTGTGGGATGTAGGAATGCAGTAGTGGGAGAGTGTGTGTATGGGGTGAGGAGTGTGTGTATGGTGGGGGCAAGATTGAGGGATGGAAGTGTGATGAGGGGTGTCATGAGTTTGTGTGCTGTGGGGATGGAGGCTGCGTTTGTGTGGGCAGTGCGCATGTGCATAGCCAATGGTTGCGCTCATGCGTGGGTGTGCACCTGTTGGGACAATGGTTGTGTGTGTGAGTTGTACTCCTAACAGGCAGGACTCATCTCCTATTAGAAGAGAGTGGAAATCCTCAGCATGCATACGTTCAATCAATCTTTACAGAGGCAAACGAGCTTCTTCTGAAACTTGTTGGCTGTTCGCTAAGTACATGACTCAAGATATCCCTTAGATTCTACTTTGCAGTTGATAGGAGGTTGATTCTCTAGATAAATGCTCCTCCTGAGGAGTCATACTTATTTAAATGGTGGTGAAAAATTTGTGGACTTGTGCATAATTTTTATAAATTAAAAACAATAGCCCTGTAATTACCTGATTAGTACTCCCTGTACAAAAACAGTTACCTGATCAGGAATTCACTCTTTCTAGAAATATGGCCAGGTTCAAATTTTCTATTAAAATGTTCTTGACAATCATTTATAATCATAAATAAACTGTGCCAGTTTTTACAAACTGGGACTTTGAGTAAATCATGCCCACAAAAGATTTGAATTAAAGCAAATTGTGATCAAGTTAAATGTGATTCAGCCCGGGTTTGTAGTTTTCTTGTGAATCCTACTGTTAGCAAGTTTGTACATCCACGTTGACATCATTTAAAGATCAGTCTCAAGCCAAGGACAGATTTTATATGGATGGTGGTATTACCAACAAAATTCAAGTATTCAGGTGTGAGCACTGTACAGGCCTCAACTCACTGACTAAAATTAGAAGATGCCATAGTTTGAAATGTATATTTATTCATTTGTAGGATGTGGGCATCACTGGCCTCAGGTAGTGTGAGCTGCCTTCTCAAAATGCTACAGTCCACTGAAGCTAGTTATATCCACACTGCTGTTAGGATGGAAGTTCCAGGATTTTGACCCAACAACACTGAAGGAACAGTGATATACTTCCAAGTCAGGACGGTGTGTAGCTTAGAGAAGAACTTTCAGGTAATAGTGTTCTCATGCATCTGCTGCCCTTGTTCTTCTAAATGGTAGCGGTTACAGGTTTGGAAGATGTTGTCAAAGAAGCCTTGGTGAGTTGCTGCGGTGCATCACTGTTGGCATTCTGCACCAGTGATTGAGGGAGAGAATGTTTAAGGTGCTCTTTGTCCTGGGTGGTGTCAGGCCTCCTTAGTGTAGTTGGAGCTGCACTCATCCAGACAAGTAGAAGGCATTCCATCACACTCCTGACTTGTCGTTGGTGGACAGGTTTGGAGAGATGGAAGGCGAGCTACTTATGGCAGAATTCCTAGCCTCTAACCTGCTCTTGTAGCCACTGTGTTCATATGGCTAGTACAGTTCTGCTCCTGGTCAATGGCAAACCCCAAGATGTTGATAGTGGGGGATTTAGAGATGGTAATGACATTGAATGTTAAAAGCGAGATGTTTGGATTCTCCTTTGTTTTGAAATGCACTTCCTAGAAGAGAAGTTCCTTGTCTGTATCTTGCCCTATTTGTATTAAACAGGAGGATATTTCTTTAGTTAAAGAAACACTTGTAGATACATCAGATCCAAAACCAGCACATTCCAAAACCAACATCAGCCAAATTTAGGATTTGGTAACTGTAATCAATTGTCATGTCAGAAATGCAGCAAATAATTGGTAGACAGCAATGTGTATAGAATATTGGTTGAGCTGCAGCTAGAGTACTGTGTGTAGTTTTAGTAGCAACACTCTAGGAAGCACGTGATTGCACTGGAGAAGATGCAAAAGGCATTCATCAGGATATTGCCTGCTCTAGAGAGGTTCAGCTACGAAGAAAGAATATATAGGCTTGGGTTGTTTTCCTTGGAGCACAGGAGACGAATAAGGTACCTGATTGTGGTATATAAAATTACGAGGGGCATAAACAGGGTTAATACAAATAAACCTTTCCCCTTAGTAGAGCGGTAAGATATCAGGAGGCATAGAATTAGGGTAAGGAGCAGGAGGTTTATCGAGGATTTAAGGAGAAATCTGTTTAGCCAGTAGGGTGGTGAATATCTGGAACTCATCCTCTGAAAACCTGGTGGAATTCCATTACAATATTTAAGAAATATTCAGATGAACACTTAAAATGCCACATCATGGAAGACTGAAGGTCAAGTGCTGGAAAGTGGGATTAGAGTACAAAGATTTTTGATGACTGGTATGGAGATGAATAGCTGAGGAGGCCTCTTTCCATGCTGTAAGACCCTGTAAATCTATGACTGAACTCCCACATTCTGCTTTGGAACAGTGCCACAAAACAACACAGCAAGCCCCACCTGAACAGTAGCAGCTCTGACAATACAGCATTCCCTCAGCACCGCACAGGAGAGTTAGCACAGAATTATGCTCAAGTCCCTTAGAGGTTAACGACTCAGAGAAGAGTCCGGCACATTGATTTTAAAGTTAGACTGAAAACTTTCTATACCTCCTACGATTAGCTGTATATCCGCTTCAACAGGCCCATCAGGGAATAAGATGAAAATACAACTGTGTGTCCCCTCATCACTTAGTGTAATATTTCTCAAATATTTTGATGCATTTTTGGAACTTGGCCCAACGTAGGTCATTCTGCCATCAAATGTATAATCAAAGTTTTCATTCTTTCCATTTATGAAAACTGCTGTGAAAAAGTTCCGTTGTTGTTGACCACGACTGTCGCCACATGAATTGTGAGATAGTTTTCTCGGTGTTAATTGTACATGGAAGCAGGGTATCATCGCCTACGAATCTCAAAATCTGGTCACCGTTCCCTTTTATTGGACCTGGAAAAGAAACATTTGATGAATGAATAGTGGCAAAACAATGGCAGGAAGAAGGAATTTTAACCCAGCATCTGGGTGCAAGATAGGATGAAAGGCAGTTAAAATATCCCCTTTGCTGCTTTCTGCTGTATTGGATTGAAACTGACTGTAGCTCACTCTGCTGAGCAGGTGACTCAGACACTGACGTGAAGTCATTGTAACCCTCTTCCATATTGGGAATTGATGATGCCATCAGCCCCTGCTCCAATGTTACTTGCGGCCTGAGTCAGGATGGCATTCACTCTTTGCAGCTGCTAATGGTTATGAATAATGTAGGGCCAGAACAGGCACCTTTTATTTAAATATGTTTGTGGGACCAGAAGAGGAGTAGTGCGAGTCTGGGCCCCACCTGGAACTTTTATGCCTTGCATGCCTCAGACTTGTCCTTTCCCGAAACATCCCTTCACATAATGTTTATTTTTCTTCCCAATATAATGATACTGTGGCTTTAATAATGTATTTTGTCCTGGGTTTTCTTTGAAGAAAGGTTGAGACAGAGGTGAGAGCAGTTTGCTCAAAGCCAAAAAAGTAAATAGCTTGTGAGGCGTTGCGTTTTTTTTTAAGTTTGAACAATAGTAGCAACATGAATGGGTGGGGTCAGAATCTTGTAGCTGGATGTGGAAGCTCTTAATCTTCTCTCTGTTACAGCTAAAAGCTGGGGTTCTCTTCCTGCTGCTAGAACTGTATGTGAGACAATCTATTTTCCTGAATTTGCCTTTACCAAGGGTGTGTTAATAGGATGTTACTATATTGGAACAGTTAATTAGTAGTAGTTAATATATCTATTATTTTGTTGAGCATTTTGATAGATTTACATTGAAGACAATCCCTTGCTTTTATCTTTATGTTACATAGAACATAGAACATTACAGCGCAGTACAGGCCCTTCGGCCCTCGATGTTGCGCCGACCTGTGAAACCAATCTGAAGCCCATCTAACCTAAACTATTCCATTATCATCCATATGTTTATCCAATGACCATTTAAATACCCTTAAAGTGGGCGAGTCTACTATTTTTGCAGGCAGGGCATTCCACGCCCTTACTACTCTCTGAGTAAAGAACCTACCTCTGACATCTGTCCTATATCTATCACCCCTCAATTTAAAGCTATGTCCCCTCGTGCTAGCCATCACCATCCGAGGAAAAAGGCTCCCACTGTCCACCCTATCTAATCCTCTGATCATCTTGTATGTCTCTATTAAGTCACCTCTTAAACTTCTTCTCTCTAACGAAAACAGCCTGAAGTCCCTCAGCCTTTCCTCATAAGACCTTCCCTCCATACCAGGCAACATCCTGGTAAATCTCCTCTGCACCCTTTCCAATGCTTCCACATCCTTCCTATAATGCGGTGACCAGAACTGTATGCAATACTCCAAGTGCGGCCGCACCAGAGTTTTGTACAGCTGCAACATGACCTCATGGCTCCGAAACTCAATCCCTCTACCAATAAAACCTAACACACGGTACGCCTTCTTAACAACCCTATCAACCTGGGTGGCAATTTTCAGTGATCTATGCACATGGACACCGAGATCTCTCTGCTCATCCACACTACCAAGAATCTTACCATTAGCCCAGTACTCTGTATTCCTGTTACTCCTTCCAAAGTGAATCACCTCACACTTTTCCGCATTAAACTCCATTTGCCACCTCTCAGCCCAGCTCTGCAGCTTATCTATGTCCCTTTGTAACCTGCAACATCCTTCCGCACTATCCACAACTCCACCGACTTTGGTGTCATCCTCAAATTTACTAACCCATCCTTCTACGCCCTCATCCAGGTCATTTATAAAAATGACAAACAGCAGTGGCCCCAAAACAGACCCTTGAGGTACACCATTAGTAACTGAACTCCAGGATGAACATTTCCCATCAACCACCACCCTCTGTCTTCTTACAGCTAGCCAATTTCTGATCCAAACCGCTAAATCACCCTCAATCCCATGCCTCCGTATTTTCTGCAATAGCCTACCATGGGGAACGTTATCAAACGCTTTACTGAAATCCATATACACCACATCAACCGCTTTACCCTCATCCACCTGTTTGGTCACTTTCTCAAAGAACTCAATAAGGTTTGTGAGGCACGACCTACCCTTCACAAAACCATGTTGTCTGTATTTTAACTGTAGTGTAAAAATAAAGTTTTTTTTGCTTAACATTGAGTAGTTTGACCAATCGAATTGCATCTGAAACACAACACCTTACACTCACCTTTAAAATAAGAACATGTTAGAGTCTATTCTATCTTCTTAATACATTTTGAGGGGGTTTGGTCTGGTCGATAACACCAACATACCTTCACTTGATGCTAGCTGGACCCTGCTGACTGAACAAGAATTCCGACCTACTGACAGACTGTCACTTCCGTCCTGTTTCTGGTGTTAATTGATGAATAGCTTGCATAGGAGGCTCTGCAGTTAAAATTGCAGGTTCTCGCCTTGTCAATATCATGTACATTTGATGCTCGGGCTGTAGTCCCATCTTCAGGCAAAAATGCTCACTTCTTTAAGAAATATACAGGGTAAGAAAGCACAGGATGGATGACTCCCATCCCTGAATCATTAAAACAGTTTGTTGCCTCAGTCCTACAGTTCTTTCCTCCTTATGATGGTGGCACACTGATCAGAGAAAGGCATCCAAACTGAAGCGTTTTGGTAGTAACAATGACAAATGGTAAAGACAAGGGGAACCATCTATTGAAAGAATGGATGAGCATGGTGTTGTTAAAAAGTCCCAACTATCACACTGAGATATGATATACAGAACATCTTAAAGTTTGTGCCCCTGAAAGAAAATGTTGCCAACAGACTGCTTTCCTGTCCAAAGCTGGTAAATAAAATCATGGCCTGTGTAGTATTCTGAGTTCACATTGCTCATGTTTATGGAATCACAATGAGTTAAAACAGAGATGGCACAGAATTCTCTAATTCTGTTCTCTGCCAGAAATGAGCTTCTCATTTCTCCTCGGCTCTCCTGATCAACAGCCATCCTCCCAAAGTCATTGCCAATGGTGATGATCGTCTCGTTATCATTATCATCACCTTTAGCAACCGTCAATTCCCCAGGGATCAGCCTGGAGTGGAATGACCTAGAGAAAATCCCACAGCACCTAAAAGTTACAAACAGCAGAAGTGACGGTTCATCTTGGCCAGGTAACACAGGGCTAAAACTTCATCAGCCTCATTAATTGAATGCAGTATTCACAATCTGTAGCCTATCTGTATGGTTCCATCAAAATTGGGCAGCACTCAAATCTGCAGATCCAACCCCAATACCACAACTATATCATGAAGTTATGTGGCTTCATCACTGCTGCTGCCAGGTCCCTTTGCACTCTGTAGGAGGCTGACCATTGTTGTACTGAGTAAAGATAGTACTGCCAGTGCTATTTTTAAATATAGGCCGTCATCCTTGAAGGGAAGTTGCACAAAAGAACGTTAACGATTTTTAAATGATAGAAAATAAAACCTTGGGCAGCGTAAAGGCTGTTTTTTTTTGGATTGTGGACTGGAAAGTGGGAAAAGATACTGCTTTAAACCAAGCAAAAACTGTAGAAGAAGATGTTTACAGTTTAAGAAGCAAATTCCTGGAACACTGTGAACTTTATATGCAATATCGCTTTATTTGAGCAATGGGGAGGATGTTAGACACATCAGCATCGTGTGTGTGTGTTCTGGACAATGTTCCTCAGAGACAGTTGTGGATTCTAAAAGTGAACAGCTCGACAACAACACTCTGGTTCCTGAGCTGCTGAACAGCCAGTGTGTGTGAATGAGAGTGGCATGAATTTTCCAGACTGGGGAGAAGCCTCCAACTGCATTGTGTCTCCAGCTCTCTGCAGGAAAAATATCTGATGTCTAACAAAAGGCAGCTATCTTCTCCTCCCAGTTTCTGTAAATGGTTGCCAATAATTAAGAAACTTTGTCATCAGTGGACCAATTGCCCCACACCTCCTGTGAAGAAATGAATGAACTTGCAGAAAAAGACTGAAGGACAGACAGTTGTGGGAGGCAAAAGGAACAACTCATTGAAAGTTGTGGAATGTTGCCATTGAATGATGTTTCCCCAGTTTTATTTTTCTCCACCCATAACACCACTTTATTTGTTTATCTGTGTTTTTCTGTATGTATGTGTAGGGGTTTAAAGGGGATTAGGTTTCAACTAGTGGAGTTACATGCTGCTACTTCATAGCTTTGTTTACCTGTGGCTAGAATTCAGTTATTTATAATAAACAATAGCCCTCATTACATATGGGACCCTGGTCAGTGTCTTTTGTTAACCTGATTCCATTTGGCAGGTAAACTGGGGACATTGCATACTTTGATTAAACCATTAACTTTTATGCCAAGTTGGGGAGTAGTGGGGCTTGAGAAATAGCACACATTCCCAAGTAGGTCATAATAGCTTCACTGAATTTTCTTTCCTTCTTCAACCCATAATACTCCTGGTGATGGATAAAAAAAAGTCTTCACAGAGTACATTATGTGATCTTGTGATCCTCATGTGCTTCCTTTGCAGAAATACTGAATCATCACTGGAAAGAATGCAGAATGTAGTAATCAGCAGGAGATCTCCCTGCCTATGTTTGACCTAATGATTTCTGATTTAATGTAGTCTGCTTAAGGACTCCCATAGCTACTCCCTCTTGACTGTACACCACTTTCTACCACATCTAACGCATTTGTCAGGCTCATGGGACACAGCATGACCAGAGATGGTGATGGAAATGTGATGTTTTCGTTAAGGTATGACTCAATGAGTATAGCTATGCCAGGCTGTTGTGTGACTAGTGTATAGGCTAGATTTCCTAATTTTGGCACATATTCCCAAATGTCGGTCACGAAAATATTGCAGAATTGACAGGCAGGGTGTGCTTGGTCATTTCCATTGCCTTGGGGGTGGGGTGGAGAGATCTGTCCAGTTTTATTCACTGAACATTTCTCTAGTAGTTTGATAC